CTACAAATCAATAAAGGCTGAGCCTGGAAAAAGCCAGCTCTGCGCAGAGCCACGGCACCTCCAGCACGCTCACGCTGCGCTCCCCAAGGCTCCGTCGACTCGGTTTCGTGACGCCCACAGAAGGAAAGTTGCATTCCTCCACGTACATCGTCCAAGCCTTGCCTTTCGTAAAAACTCTCCTGGACTTCAGGAGGAGGTCAAACTAGGACCAGTTTCCTGTCACTGCTAAACCAACCACTATTACTGTACCTACAGACACGCTGCCCTCTGCGAACAGAAATCGAAGATGGTCAAACATGCCAGGACAGCTGTCCTGAGAAAGGGGCAGCTCTATGATGAGTATGAAGATTCTATTTTTTAAAAATTAATAAAATATAATTTGAAAAACAAGGAATAAAACAAACCTTTACTGGTTACACAAACCACTCCTCTTATACTTTAACCACGTAACATCTGGAGAAGAAATGGAAGACCAGGATAGTGCATACAGCGCTAAAAATAGTTTCTGCAACCCAATCCTAGAGCCACAGAGCCTGCAAGGGCGTTTGTGCCAGCCCTCCGGCAAGTTACGCTGCACTGGAAGAGACACAACGAAGCAAGAGTACAGCAGAAGCCCCAAGTCAAGAGTAACACAAGGGAGAAGAACTGGAAACACTTATTTGCTCTTTCACACAATGTAAGACTTGGGTGCAAGAAAATGATCTGACATTAGGTTTAAAAGAAACAAAACTGTTTCTTCACATCTTCACACAATATCAATAAACGGAGTATAATTAATGGATAATTAAATAGCAAAACTCATTGCTGCAGGATACTGTAGCAACCAAAAGCATCAGCAGATTCAGAAAAGGATGTACAAGTTTCTGGTAGACAGATGTGGTAAAAACAGTGAGTGCCAGACACAGTGATCCGGAGGCAGCTGCCAGCTCTCAATCCTTGAAGGGACAATTGCTGAGAACCAGAGAAAGCTGATTTGAATCACAGTCTTCTTGTTACATCCGCAAGCATTGGCTACCGGCCTCTGGCATGGAGAGGACCTGGCTTAGACCTTTGGTCTGGGCATTTTGACACGCTCACCATCCTTCTAATGTTTTTCTTGCACAAGCTAACTTGTAAGAAAATCTAGCTTCACCACCGTTCTTCCACCTCCTCCCTCCATCAAACCACTCTCCCCTCCGTGATGTGCTCCCAACCCGGCAATGCTGGCACTCCTGCTGCCTGCCAGGTTTCCCATTCCCAGGCTCCTAGCCACCCTGCGATCGCAGGCACCGTGTCCTCAGCCTAACACAGCGCTGGCTCCATCCCCGCAGTGCGAGGATCCATCACGGGACTGACCATGCCACTACCTCAAGCGAGACTTGGAACGATAAACAACAGAGGCTCCTGAAAGAGGAAAGGGAGCATGAATGACAGCTGATCCTTGCGTTAGAACAAGCCCTAATGAATTTAGCCAGGCTACCTGAGGATACTTTTGGTGTGGCAGCTTGGTTGTGGCTTGCCAGCTGCAGCAGTTTTCCTTTACACACAAATCTTGAGCCACAACCTCCTCCTTTCTGCAAGTCTTTCTCCAGTGGTGCCCTTCGCTCCTGACATGAAGCACACTCTGCCATTTACATCCTGAGCATCCAGCTCCAATGATGTAGCTCAGGTTCTGCACCTCAGTCCTAACCCACGGGGCCTCTGCGCATCGACATGTCAGGCACATAAGGAGAACTGGCAGACAGGATGGTGGCTCTCTGTCGAGATGGTTTAGGGGGATATCTGAAATGTTGCAGCATTCAAAGAAAGCCTCCTCTGCTTTCTGCTGCCCTCCCAAAAGGCTGAGCTAATCGAAGTGAAGAACATGAGAAACTCTCTGCCCCAAGTCAGCTCTACACTGACAGTTCACCAGAGATACAAGATCGCTCAGTGACATTAAAAATGTCAGCAAACACCGATCAGGCTTGATGGAAGGGATGCATTAACAGGTTGGGGGGGCATAGGCCAAAGTAAAACCTCAGCAAACACGGTCAAGTGCACAGGCAGCTTTTCTCCTTCTGTCCTCCACAGCAGGGTTTTTCACAGATACCAAGATGCTGTGGCCACCATCACAGCAGTCAGGTGTGGAGCTGACCACTGCCTGCATGGCCAGATCAATCCAAAAGGTTTCGTGGGGAAACAGACACATGGCAGCTAGTGGGAGCTGATTCCCATCTTCAGCTTGTCTGAGAGGCAAGTCTTGGATACTGTGAAAGAGGCCTGGAGGTACAGCATGCTCACCTCAACTGCTCCTGCAGCACAGAAGTGCTGCGAAGGAGTTTATTGGAGAAGGAACCCTGGGAAAGACTGTCTCACCACCTCGGGAAGAGAGACTGCTGAGCTCTGGAGCATCCCGCGCTTTAGCAGAGGCAGCAAAGACAAGGACTTTTTCTTCAGATGATACAAAATGAAGAAAAAGAGGAGCTGAAGCCGTGTGTGCATGGACAGAGAGAATCTGGAACACATTTTTTGGCTACTGCACTACACACAGGTACACAAACACGTCTGCCCCATGCGCACACCTTTCCGCATGTAATCCCACTCTTTTGCATTGCCTTGCATTTGCAGCAGCAGTTCTCGAACTCAGAAGGGTCCTCTTGGTATCACTGCTCACAGCCGAGACCTGAAGCACAGCCAGACGACACAGGTGGGGCATCCTGGAGGAAACCACTCTCGGTCCCACATGCCATTTACACTCACGTCAACTGTTTTCTTGACATCTGAAACATCCAAGTATCTGCATTATGCACGACCTAAAAAGCACCAGTTTCACACCACCCCCTCCCCAACACCTTCACTTCATGGATCAGATCAGAGGCAGACTCAGCCTAGGAGGTATTTCTAAGTCAGGAATGTGCCAGAGGGAGGAGAAATGGGGCCACCTGAGCTATGCAGGGAAGAGCAGTGGGGCTAGATATCTGTCCAGACTTATTTGTCTCACTGGAAGCTCACTCAGAAGAGACCGAGGTCCCATTGGGTCCCGCTGCTTGCCCAGAATTACCTGTGCTGGAAATCCTCTCTCGTGAAAACACACAGGCAGTTCCCCCACAATCACCCCCAAAGAGTGGGGCAGTCAGTAGCATGGAAAGATCCTCACCCTGGGGTAGGAGCAACCCCGGGGGGAGTCAGCTATTTACTCACAGGCCAGGAGAGGTCTCTGCTCTCTTCAACCTGGGTCACCTCCCAGAGGGGCGCAGGGACCCTGGCACCACCCTGTGTCACAGGGCATCAGATATTAAAAGGTCAGAAAAACTTCAGAATTTTAAGGGATCAGAGGGGTTGGAGGAAGATGAACATTTCTCCTACACATCCCCTCCTCACATGATCTGAAGGAGACTGGAGTCTCACTTTCTGAGTAATGCATCTGCAGAGGGGGACAACTCCAACCCATGTGCCTCCATCCTCCATGCACAGCCAGTGACCCCTTCCGAGAGCTGGGCAAGGGAACGCTTCCCTGCAACAGCTTCCCTCCTCCTGCCTTTAGCTCTGTGCTTGGTACTTCATGGATGCTCACCAGCCCTGAACTTAAGATCACAGCATTTGCTGAAACACAATACATGAATGCCCATCTTGAAGAACAGCCGCTTGCCTGATGTTCACATTATGATGAATCCCAGCTCCTCACAAGCCAAATCCAGGAGCCTCAAACTATGGGAAAGAGCCATAAGTCATTCATCCTGAGGCCCAGAGGAGGAGCATGGCTGCATCAACTTACTTCTTAGCAAACATCACGGTACATAGGGAATCTTTTTTTTTTTTTTTAATATTATTATTCTGCAGCCATCAACCTGCTGGTTATGTAGCTGCTATCCATTCACCGGAAGTTTAGTGAACTTCAAATGGCGATCATTAATGGTCACTGAACTGCAGAATGCCCCAATGTGCTTTCAGATTTCATTTACCAAGGACCAGCAATCAGCCAAAAGATTTGCTCTGACAGCAGGGAAATACAAGACCCTTTGACAAGTTCAGCCGGGAATGTGCTGCCAGCATCCCTTGTTAAGTTCATGTTCTACCCTATTTGACGGAACAGATCATGCAAATTGTCCTTCTGCGGCCGCTCAGCCTGTCACTCATGCTTCCATTTAAAACAACAAATAAATAAAAGAACAAAAGAAAAGCCCAGAAGTACAACGAGCTGTTTACAAGCAAATTCCACTTACCGAGACCCCTAATTATCAGGAAAAGGCACAGAAACCCAAATAAAACATTAAATTGGATGGGGGAAGGGAATCTTACTCATCCAAAGGTTTAACCAGGAGGGTCACCCCAGTATCTCTTGTGCACAGACCTCAGTCTCCCCCCTCACCCTGCTACCGCTTGTAATCACACTTGTTCTTTTCTTCCCACTTTAATTTGTGGCTCACGGCATCACCACAGTTTTTCTGCGCAGATGGAGCAGCTGTGCTAGGAGACCCTGTGGATGCACAGCAGGCTGCTTCTTAACCACCCAGAGAAGGCACGGAACAACGCACCAGATAGTAAATTCCGAAGTATTTTGCTTTGCAAAGTGACCGCTGGTTTCTTAGACAGCTCCCTTTCCCCACAGTACAAAGGGAAATACTGATTTTTATTTAGGAATATATCTATGTTTGTCAACCAAAATTTGATGAAGGGAACCGAGCTCCTAGGAGCCTTATATAGCTGCAAAACAAAAGAGAGTCAGCAACATCGGGGCCAACACAACCTGCGCTGAGGAGGGGCGTCACAGTGTCCCACTATTATGCGGTGACACTGCACTGTGCCTGCCACAATGGGATTCTCCCCAGCTGCAGAACACATCCCATCAAGTACAGTAAGACTCTATTAGAGGACATACAATAGGGAGCTGGAGGACTCGCTCAGCCCAGCTTCTGAGAAAATAACTCATTTCAATGCAAAACAGCAGTAGTTATTAGACACCTCCTTAAACAGGAAAGGAGAAGGACAAGGGGAGGGGGGAGAGAGTGAGACGGGGACCATGGCAGTTTGCACAAAAGTACCTTTTTCAGATTAATCCACTGTTTGAAGTAATCAGCAACCGGCAGCCCTAAGTACTGGCATTGTCCTGGTAACCTGTAAGAGAGAAAAGAGAGCAGGTTTGATTCAATCAGTGTCCTGACAACACAAACTGTTTTCTTAAGTGCATTTTGTTCTGAGACAGAAGAGACCCTCAAGCCTGCTGTAACATGCTGCACATCAGAAGGACCGTAGCTCTCGGCAAAAAAAATCTCATGAGAGCACAGCTTGGCTGAAGACTTCCATACATCCAGCCACATCCAGGCCGCTGACACCTTTCAGACTGAACATTTTGAAGAGGAGCTGTGTGCAAGCACAGCACACAGCCCTTCTCCACAGCAGCTAACGCACTAACACGACTGGAGCATCCAAGCTGTCCTCAGCTAAGTGAACTCATCACAAATCCCTGCAAAACCATCCTGCTCAGCCAGCGGCTTACGGGGCAGACAGAAGGACTGACGATTCACCTGTCATGCCCTGGTGCTTTTCCATTCAGCCTTTACGGTTAAAACACCAAATGAGACATGAGGGACGGAAAGAGACACCAATGCATTCATTTTTTGGTTAGTAATACTAACTTTTTAAGGGCTAAGAAAGCAGAGGCTGTCTTCCGAGCAGGTGCTTGGAAGAAGACAGCAGTCACAACTCGGAAGATGCACGGTGCTGCACAGTGTCTCACCACAGGCTTGAGCACCAGCAGCCAGAGCCGCGAGCGCACGTACTTATTCTCTCCCTTCCTACCGCAACCAGTCGGAACAGGGCTCATGAAACAAAATGGCACCAGTAAGGGAGACGGATTGCCTGAAGGGACAGCAGGACCCCAGGATTTGGAGAGCTGTTTCTCCCACACTGTGCTGGTCCTGGTGTGTTCGCAGGGGAGGTACGATGCGTCCCTCAGATGGGGAAGGCTGAGTCAGAGCCACGCGGCTCCAGCCGAGCCTGTGCAGGGAGATGAGTTATGTGAGTTTTCTCCGGCCGGTTTGATCTGATCAAGAGTAATTGATGGATCTTCTTCATTCACGTACTGCTGAGCACGCCTGGGGCACTGGTCACAGGATCTTTAACTGAAGCAAAGGAACACCCCAAATAAATATGTCAACTAAATAAATGACTAAATTAGAGCTGTTTGTGCATGTTAAAAGCCACAACCCCAGAAATTGGCTTTTGCAAACAGAGGGGGGTGGGGAATCTCACAACTTCCTCGGGCATCTGGGGGCTGTCGGGGGAGGTTGTAGAGGATGAGGGAAGAGCTGCAAGTGCCAGCATCAGCTGCAAAAACATCCCAACACAG